AAGTCACATCAAAGTAAAGCCCATCTTGTCCTTTAAAAAATGATATATAATATGTGTTGATTCAATAAATGAGAGCGATGCAAATTGCAGTTGAACACAAACAGCAAAAAATGCAAAAATAGCTTAAAGGTATTTCCAGCTTCTGAAGCTGCGTCCTCAAGGGGTTAATTCCTATGGAAGCAGTAAGGGTGTACTTGGTTTTTCACACACGGTTTCTCCATTTTGGCTTTATTTTTGTTAAATAAAACATGACATGATATAATATGTCATGTGTTGTAAATCTGAGGTTCCATTTACCGAGTTTTAACCCTTTAGTGACCAGACCGTTTTTACATTTTCTTACTATTAAGGACCAGAGCTGTTTTTACATTTCTGTGGTGTTTGTGTTTAGCTGTAATTTTCCTCTTACTCATTTACTGTACTCACACATATTATATACCGATTTTCTCGCCATTAAATGGTCTTTCTAAAGATGCCATTGTTTTCATCATATCATATAATTTACTATTACAAAAATGATAAAATATGATGAAAACATTTTTTTAAAAAACATACTTTTTCTAACTTTGACCCCCAGAATCTGTTACGCATGTACAACCTGCCAAAAAACACCCGTGCTAAATAGTTTAGAAATACCCAATGTTAATACTTTCTTAGCTTTTTTTTTGCAAGTCATAGGGCTAGTACAAATTATATATTTTTAAAATGTATCAATAGGGATATTGTAACACTGTTATCTGTCATAAATCTCTGAATCACACCTCACATGTAATTTTTTTAAAGTAGACAACCCAGGGTATTTAATATGGGGTATGTCCAGTCTTTTTAGTAGCCACTTAGTCACAAACACTGGCCAAAGTTAGCATTTATATTTGTTTGTGTGTTAAAAATGCAAAAAACAATTATGAACTCTAACTTTGGCGAGTGTTTGTGACTAAGTGGCTACTAAAAAAGAATGAAAATATCCCATTTGCAATACCTTGGGTTGTCTTCTTTTGCAAATGGTATGCCATTTGGGGTAATTCTCATTCCTGGGCTACCATCAGGGCCAGGATTTTTGCCGTTCCAGGCAAATAAAAATTTGCGCCCCCCCATCACAGTGTGCCACCCATATGATCTGCCATATGAGCCAATGCCAGTCCAGGCAGTCCCCCTGCTGGCAGATCCACAGCAGCTATAGGGGGCCATGTGATCGCTCTTTGAGAGCGATCACATGGTCCCAGGGGGCCTGATTTGCCAGGGGAAGGCTGTCTGAGCTGTCAGGCAATCCTCCTGAAGAGGATCGTGGCAGAGGTAAGTCCACTGGAGCTCCTGGGGGCTTAAGCCATTTAAATTCCATTAGAATGGGGACGGCATAGAATGTCGTAACAGCGTTAAGGGGTTAATGTATTAGTAATATATTAGTTTGAGAATTATTGTTTACCACTTTAGTTCATGCACTGCTGTTTTATGTAATAATTATAATTATATTGCACTATTATATTGCACAAGATTTACCCTTGGGCTAAATTCCCTGGTCTTTTTACCATCTAGCAATGCCCATGGTTCCCATACACACCCAGAGCCGGATTAACATAGGGGCTGATGGAGCTGCAGCGGCACGTCCGACCTCCTGGCAGCCCCCCCGGCCATGTGAGAGTGAGGTCCTTGCAAGGACCTCACAATCACATGGCCAGGATAGCTGCCTCCTGCATTGCCAGCAGGGGGGCTGCCTGTAATGACAGGCCCGGGCCCATGGAATAGGCCCAATTATTATTTTTTTACACATTACTCTTAGGGTTGCCACCTGGCTGGTATTTTATGGTATTTGAGGCTGCCTGGTCAGTGCCAGTATTGCAGTAAAACCAGCAATACAAATGCCGGCATATTTCTATGTATAAACAGAGATTACTGTGAAATACCTGCACTGGCCAGTAGGGGGTCACTGTGTGTGGAGAGAGGCCTCTCTCTACTCACGGATCCACGGGTGAACAGCTACACAGCACAGAGAGTTCAGAGAGCAGCTCCCAGCCTGCAAAGACAGCCTACAGCTCAGGGAAGTGAGGGATGGGGTAAAAGCTGCAGGGAGACATGGGGACACTGGGAGACACTAGGGGACACTGGGTGACCTGGGGACACTGAGACACTTGAGGACACTGGAAGATCAGGGGACACTCAGACACTAGGGGATGCTGTGAAACACTAGGGGACGCTGTGAGGCACTAGGCACTTGGGGTCACTGGGAGACATGGGGACACTGAGACACTGTGTCCCTAGTGTCTGTGTCCTCAAGTCCCTATGTCTCCATATCTCCCAGTCAGTCTCCCTAGTGTCTCAGTTTCCGCATGTCTACCAGTGTCCCTATGTCTCAGTGTCTCCCAGTGTCCCAATGTCTCACAGTGTTCCCATGTCTTTTAAGTGTCCCCTAGTGTCCAAGTTACACTGGGCAACATGGGGACACTGGGAGACATGGGACACTGAGACATTGTGATACATAGGGATACTGTGATACATAGAAGACACTGAGACATGGGGACATGAGGGGACACTGGGACACATGGGGCACTGAAACACTGTGATGCATAGGGGACACAAACACTAGAGGATACTGTTACGGGCAAATGCAAATATTACAAGTTTTAGAATGAAATGTTGTATTTCTTAAACTGTGTACTTTGTCTTTAAGAGATATTGCAAACTGACAAGGTGTTAGAAATGGAACATATTGTTTTTCTTAACTGTTTCTTTAAGCAATAACCTCAGTGCATAATATGTTTGCACCATTTTGTCCCAGACGAATTACAATAACAATAATGCATAAACAAGCTTCAAGGCTATACTACGACACTTGCAGTACACAATATACTGTGGTAACCCCAAGTTAATGGAACTTCCCCAAATCCTGGAATCTCCCACGACTGTACACTTACGACTTAGTATAAACAACAGATAACCTATTCAGACTTTAAGATGCCATCTTGAACTAAGCCAGGAAAATTTCCATGACGTATACACCCTTTAGTTATGGCCTTGTATGTTTGCCAAATTAAGGGAGGTCCTAAATTGAATAAAGTAAAAGAAGTGTTACTTTTTCATATTTGAACTACAGTAACCTAAAATGGAGACACCTAAGGTATAAATAGGTGTACTTTTAAATGTTAAGACACAGAGGAGAGACTTGGAGACAGACGCTGCTCCATCTTAAAATGACAGAGAGGCTGACATGATGACATGTTCAGAAGGGTATGTTAACCTATTAATGATATTGCAAGTTCTGTGATCGTGAGGACTACCTCCAAGAACCATCCCAAAAGGAGAGACACAGCTCACAGTGAAATGATTGCCTACACTGATATTTCACAAGGAACCTATTGAGATCATTCCAAAAACCGATTATACATGAGAAAGATGTGATTGGACTATTACAAATCCTAATAATGGAATCAACGATGATGGCAAAGCATGCTGAAATCAGAAAAAGATGGGACAGATGCTTTGGATGCACCTATGAAGGTGATGCAAGAAAAGACTTTGCCATATAGTTTATCATTGAATGACTACCGCAAACAGCCTTCTTATGCTGAAAAGAAGTGCTATGCTAATTCTGGACATTGCTATTATCCAAACAGACGATAACCGGAAAAAGAAATAAAGGCTGATAACTGTCAACACCCAGCTATTTCTTAAGATGGAACATGGTACTGAGAAAACCTGATTGACTATCAAAGCACCTCACAGTACAAGACACAGATTGTTGCCTACAACTCAGAAAAAGTGGTTTATAGGAAGGAGCAGAAGAAGAGGAATATAGATTTCCTACTGGAGTGAAAAACCATCCTGGAACAATATTCTGTAACAATGAACTTTAAAATGACATTTGGTGGCATATGAATTTGAATTTGGTAGAAACACATCAATTAACTAAAGAAACCTTGATGCAATTAATAAATAATAACAATACCGGCCTACTAAGAGCAGATGCCCTGACAAGAGAATGGAATATAAAAGACCAGCAAAATCTTTTAGAAACCTGACATCACGGGACACTTGTACTAAAGCACAATTTGCAGCTTTTCTTAAACTCTGCATATTATGTACATACCTACAAAGCAAGGACCTCCTGTAAACATAAACACAGAGATATTGATACAACAAGGAATCTGTAATGGTTCTGTTGCAGATGTGATCTACCGTCGTACTCCTTGCTCTTTTGGTATAACTCTACCAATCAAAATGTTAAATGGCTCCATAGAATCAAACGACAAAGGATTCTTATATTCTGGACTTCCAGGAATGTGGTGCATGGACCGAAAATTATAATTACTAAAGCAATCATGCTATTTTTTCCCTGTATCAGAAATGTGTCAGTGACAATGTGTAATATAATACAGATACTATAATTAATGGTATAAGAAACACATAATGTGTTAATTACAAAGGTGGATAGACTTTGTGAATATCTGAAACGCAATTGAAGATTATTGCTAAAATGCCATATGCAGCTGCAGTCTGGCCTACAAACAAATATATTAAACTTGCGTATAAGAGCATAACAGCTAATTACCCAGATAAATAATTGAATCATGATAGTGAAAAATCATATGATTGCAATAACAACTGCAATAATGAATGTTTTAACCTTAAAAGAAAATGTGAAATGTTTTTATTAAATCAGAAACTATTCTATATTCGTTTAAGTTTGCAGAGTGGTATAATGAATTGAAGTGAAGTACTTCAACAGTTAAAATTGAACTGAAAGACAGGCAGAAACTTTACTTCAACTATCATAAAGTTTAATTATAATGATAAAAATATTCAGTCTGCCAGAGCTAAGTCCAGTCAAGGGAAAGTAAAAGAGTATTATGGATTAACCCATCCAGGTGATATACATGATGATTTTGGAAATTGATAAGTTAAGTCACCTATTGCAAACTTGTGAAAAGATGTCAAAGATATAAATTCAACATCCATACCACTCTATGTATATATATATATATATATTAAAATACACGTAATCAAATATTTTATCAGTTTTTCAAATACAAAGAAAATGTAATTTGGTTTGTAATGGTTAAAGGTACATAAACCACCTATACAAAGGTAGAGTTAAAATATAAATACATTCAATATTGTATCGGAGTGCTTTCTTAACTCACTTTTAGAAATAATAATAAAAATTCTAATCATCTTAAGCTACATCCAACAGCCACTGAAAAACATACTTAAACAATTAAGATTCACATTGTTAAGCATCCAATCTCACGAACGTAACTTTCCACAATGGCTGTCAGATCTTGGTTTAAAAAAAAAAAAAAAATGTTTTCTAAGACAATATTTGAGGGGTTTCTGGTATTTTAAGCCACTAATAACTGTAGTTATTACATTTACTAATAATAACTAGGGAATAAGTTGTCTTCTCCCTAACAGGTCAAAGAAAGATAATTAACGTCATATTTCCAATTAGCAACTATTCTAAATATATTGAGAGATTTTGAATAAAGGAGTATTTTTTACATTTAAAGAGAATGTAATTTTACATACCATTGTGAACAAAGGCGGTAAATACTTTGCTGCTTCAAATTATCCTTATATATCTAAATCATATACAAGGGTGTTTATCTTTAATACAAAACACTAGAAAGATTAAATATGTTACTATTTCATCTATCATTATTATACAAAGTATAACAAATGTAAAGATTTTTCCACAGATTTTACCTGTTAACATTTTTAGCACAACAGCACCTGATGTCAGTGAGATGTCTATCACTGAGATGTTACAAAGATTCCAATACAGCAAAAAGAGGCGTTCTTGAGAATCCACTTCGATTGCTGTATCAACATAAAATTTACTATAATGGGATCCATGTCACTTAAGACAATGTCTTGGAAATTATGTCAATTAATTTATTCCGTAAAAGAATATCGGAGAGTATCCAATCTATACACATCATAAACGGTGTAAAAATGTTTCATGGAAAAAACAAACAAAATAAAAAGCAAAGACAAAAGACAAAGACAAATACCAACGCCATCACCACGGTGATAACAGATGATGCTGATTCAATATCTGCAACCAATTCTATCCAAATATTTGGAAAGCTGGACTCTACAACCTATACTCTACAACAAATACCTGGGTAATCTACAAACACAACCTCCAGCAATGTATCTAAGGAATGTAAACTTCTACAGGCCTTTAAAGACTTTGGATTACAAATACAATTACTACTTTTAACTTTGGATTACAATTCGTATCCGGATCTATCCAAGAATATCTTACTCTGGAACTTGGTGTTCTTTTCAATTCTTTCCCAGACAAAAGCTTTGCTCATTTTAATCAACCACCTTTACAGGCAAAGATCACACTACGGATATTTTACTGTTACAACAATGATCTAAGATGCTGGGAGCATAAAAAACCTAAAAACAGTTGGAGAACTTTGGTTTACTAATTTAAGGAAGAAATGCGCTACAATGCCCACAGTTTAATGGAGAGGGTGTTACGGGCAAATGCAAATATTACAAGTTTTAGAATGAAATGTTGTATTTCTTAAACTGTGTACTTTGTCTTTAAGAGATATTGCAAACTGACAAGGTGTTAGAAATGGAACATATTGTTTTTCATAACTGTTTCTTTAAGCAATAACCTCAGTGCATAATATGTTTGCGCCATTTTGTCCCAGACGAATTACAATAACAATAATGCATAAACAAGCTTCAAGGCTATACTACGACACTTGCAGTACACAATATACTGTGGTAACCCCAAGTTAATGGAACTTCCCCAAATCCGGGAATCTCCCACGACTGTACACTTACGACTTAGTATAAACAACAGATAACCTATTCAGACTTTAAGATGCCATCTTGAACTAAGTCAGGAAAATTTCCATGACGTATACACCCTTTAGTTATGGCCTTGTATGTTTGCCAAATTAAGGGAGGTCCTAAATTGAATAAAGTAAAAGAAGTGTTACTTTTTCATATTTGAACTACAGTAACCTAAAATGGAGACACCTAAGGTATAAATAGGTGTACTTTTAAATGTTAAGACACAGAGGAGAGACTTGGAGACAGACGCTGCTCCATCTTAAAATGACAGAGAGGCTGACATGATGACATGTTCAGAAGGGTATGTTAACCTATTAATGATATTTGCAAGCATGTAATTTAATCTTATAAACTCTGCTATAATGGATTTTATATTTTTATATAATAAATATCCAAAAAGACAAAACTATTGCTTCCAAGACAATCCTTATTTTATATTGTATTCTCAATTATTTATATATGTTAAATAGAGGATCTCTTACACTATATAAAATTATGGCTAAGATATCTGTATGGTTAGCCCTACTAAGTTCTATGCTTTAAGACATTATAGTGGTAAATAAGGGAACCACACACGGTTACAATACTGGGAGACATGAGAACACTGGAAGACTAGGAGACTAGGGGACACTAAGACACTGGGAGACAGGGAGACACTGGGAACAATCCATTTTTTATTCAGCAGAATAAATGGAAGTAGTTTTTTGGTGATTTTACAGAATTACCTCTCAGGTCACTCCTTGTGATTTACAAGCATACTTAATTAATTATGCAAATTAGTAAGGCCGGTATTTTTTTCCAAGAAAGGTGGCAACACTAACTATCCTTCACATACTCTTGCTTAAGTATGGAAACTTTAGAGGGATGTATGGGAACAAAACTTGTGTGGAGTGACTGACAATGAAATTAGTGAAGGTAAAGCTGACTTTGTGCACAATGCAAATGATCTTGCTGTTTTAGTCTCTCTAACACTGTGGCATGTTCCCGTTCTTCTACGCTTTCTCTGTCCCAGATTGTATACCAGGAGCTTCTGTCTGCTCATAAGGAGGTTAGGAGAGGAATGGACCAGCGAGTGCTGGGGACAGTCCTTAGAAAGTGTGGAGCGAACTCATCATTAGATGCATTTATGACATGCTCAGGGTGCTGTCTGCATAGTATGTCCTTAGTTGGCCAGCTTGCGTGATTGGCAAGCAGCCTGACATGCATTCATGCCAGGTTGGCCTTCCAATTCTTTAGGCAGACTTGGCCCCTTTTTAAGGCATGTTCGCCTCTTTCGGCAGTTCTGATTACATAATTTGTGTCAGTGGCCCACCCTTTTATCCCACCCATTGACTGCCTGCTTCACTGGACACTACTGTTAGGGGTATGGATTTACTTGAAAGATGAAAGCATAAATTAGAGAGAGATTAGCATAGAGTGTTTTTTTCTCATAGCTGCATCCTATGAGTTTCCCTTCGGAAACCAGTTCCGCCAGATACATGACGATTGATAGGTATGACTGTTTTCGTGTTTTTGGTCAATAAGATTCTGTAATTAGGCCCATCATAATTGTCAGCACCAGGCCCACTGGGCTCTTAATCTGGCCCTGGACACACCCTGTCACATATTTACATGTGCATTTTCACACATTATGCATTCTGATTCACATACTACATATGCAATCATTAAAATACATACATTTACATACAGTCTAGGGTCATGTTTAACCCCTTAAGACCGGAGGGCGTACTATTACGCCCTATTTTAGGCGGCTCTAAACGCCGCCGGGCTTAATAGTACGCCCTTCGATCTTCTTTTTATTTACCCGGTCGCCGGCGATCCCACGCCGGCGATCCCACGCCGGCGATCGCGGTTGGGGGGACTCCCAGTGAGCCCCCAGCGGCACGTCCATCCCCCTGGCAGCCCCCCCGGCCATGTGAGAGTGAGGTCCTTGCAAGGACCTCAATCACATGGCCAGGATAGCTTCCTCCTGCATTGCCAGCAGGGGGGCTGCCTGTAATGACAGGTGGTCCCCCTGCTGGCTGGAAATAAAATAAATAAAATTTAAAAAGTTAAAAAGTGTAAAAAATATATATATATACTTAGATCACATATACATACACGCACATACACTGTCTAGGTGTATTTTACTATTAATATATATATAACATATATAATATTAATATCAAATTACACATAGACTGATACTGATTAAATATATTTATAATTATTGTTATATATATATTTATATATAATATAAAAAAATTAAATATGTAAATACATTAAAATTAAATTAAAAAAATAATTAAAAAAATTATAAAAGAATATGTAGATGTGTGTTATTTCGTTCTAACTGTATTGTGATATTAATATATATATATATATATATTTATATCAAAATACACGTAGAACGAAATAATATATATACCGATATACATAAATATATATACGTATATATCACTATATATATACCTATATATAAATAAAAATATTAAAAATATATATATATATATATATACATATATATTTACATACGTATATATATACATATATTAATTCTACATATATATTTATGTAATATTTTTACATAATTAGGTATCTTAATTAATTACAATTAGCGGGACATGCCTGACAACCCATGCCGAATGTAAAGGGAATTTAATTTGCTAGCACTATATTTAACCCTATAACTTTCCAAGACACCATAAAACCTGTACATGGGGGGTACTGTTCTACTCGGGAGACTTCGCTGAACACAAATATTAGTGTTTCAAAACAGTAAAATGTATTACAACGATGATATCGCCAGTAAAAGTGATGTTTTTTGCATTTTTCACGCACAAACAGCACTTACACGGACGATATTATTGCTGCAATACTTTTTACTGTTTTGAAACACAAATATTTGTGTTCAGCGAAGTCTCCCGAGTACAACAGTACCCCTCATGTACAGGTTTTATGGTGTTTTCAAAAGTTACAGCGTCAAATATAAGGCTTGTGTTTCATTTTTTTCACATTAAAATTCGCCAGATTGGTTACGTTGCATTTGAGACCCTATGGTAGCCCAAGAATGAAAATAACCCCTATGATGGCATACCATTTGCAGTAGTAGACAACCCAAGGTATTGCAAATGGGGTATGTCCAGTCTTTTTTAGTAGCCACTTAGTCACAAACACTGGCCAAAATTGGCATTTTTTGCATTTTTCACACACAAACAAATACTAACACTAACTTTGGCCAGTGTTTGTGACCAAATGGCTACAAAAAAAAGACTGGACATACCCCATTTGCAATACCTTGGCTTGTCTACTATTGCAAATGATATGGTGTAAATTTCTTTCCTGGGCTACTATAAAGTCCCAAAGGCAACGTAACCAATCTGGCGAATTTCAATTTCAAATGTAATGTGCTATATTTGACCCTGTAACTTCCCAAAACACCATAAAACCTGTACATAGGGCGTACTGTTTTACACATGAGACTTTGCTGAATACAAATATGTGTATTGTATTGCAGGAAAAGCAAACAGTATTATGACATTGACCGTTAAAATGTCATGTAGAACTGAAAAAAAAAATCAAAAAAAATCTTATTTTCTCACATTTTTTTCATATTAAATTATGTTTCATAGCTAAATATTTGATATTAAATGAAAGCCCTGTTTCCCTGAATAAAATTATATATAATAAGTGTGGGTCTATTTAATATGAAAGAGGTGAATTACGGTTGGACAGACATGTAGCGCAAATGCCAGGTTTTGTTTACATTTTGTTTTGTTCACAACGTGTACATTTGGCTCCGTCCTTAAGGGGTTAATCC